TGCTACTCAAGAACCATGTTCTGAAAGCCAGATGGAGGCATCTCCCAGCTACCTCAGGAGAAGGTCTTTTACCATGCAAGTGTCTTGAAACAGCTGCTTCTGAAAACAAAGTTACCTCACCTACTTTTGAACAATCACTTTTTTGGCTTCTTGCCTTAATCTTTTTTCCCTTTTCTGCTCTCAGGAGAGCCTGTACACGTACACCTGCATGGGCAGGGGAGTGAAGTCTGAGATGTTCTAGGTTATGTCTAAAGGCATTAGGAATACAGGACAGCTTTAGGAGAGTATCTAGCTTTTCCAGGTCAATGTTTGGTCAAACACCAGTCACTAGAGCTAGTTATTAAAGCAGCATCCTAAACATTAAAACAACCTGTGCACTTGTACCAGCTAAGCCAGTCCAAAACATCTAGTGACACAGACTGCTAAAAATAGATGGGTCTGATTCTGCAGAGGCCATTCTGAGAAGACAGCAAAGTGGCAAATACCTGGTCACATAAAATCATCAGCGAGTCACTCACTCTGGCACTAGGAACCTCTTTGACAGGGGAAGCACCCTATGAAATACAATGTGCATCTCAGGCTATTCTCAGAGCTTTGTCCCCAGGGCTCTACCAGAGCAGCTGACCTGGGTCAGAATTCCCTTCCTGGCTATTTGATAAGGTTGGTTCAACACCGAAAAGGAAAACCTCCAACTCTGGCACCTCACCAGCACGGGCAAGTGTAACAGGGCCCTGTCACACAGCTCAGCCTCAGGAACGTGGCATGAGGCCAGCCACACATGGCCATGTAACTCAACTTTGTAACATAAGCTGTCATGTTGATCACAGGATAAACTAGACCAGAGGCAGGATCTCTGAGCATGAAAAGTTTCTGGGAAAAACACAACCAAGTCACCAACCCCCAAACAAAACCCACCCACCTTCTGTAGCACTAACATTGAGAGAAGCCACCATTGCTGTAATTCAGCTAAAGAAAGTGTTTAAAAAAGAAAGTAGGGTTTATTCCACACTTTGATACCATGTGGGCCAACCACAGAACCTGAGCATGGCTTACCTTCCTCCTACTATCTCATCTAGGCTGTGGCTCCAGTGCTCCAGTGTGGGGACACATCATCCCAGGTTAATCAGCTTTCAGCAAATCAGCCCAGAAAGCAAGAGCAGGTATTTTGGTAAACCTCCTACTCACAAATATCCTGACCAGCAAAACCAGCTTACATCAACTTCAAAATGTCAGCTCTGAAATGCATCTACAGAAGCCCTGTGACAAATCTAAAATGGATACACGTTATGTCAGCCTGGCTGTTTGGTCTCTGGCTCGTGGCACTCATCACCCGTTCAACTGCTAGTACAACACACAACTCAATTATTGAAAAGTACCAGTCCATTTCCTTAGAAAATCTAAACTTTTATTATACATACTGTATTACACTGAAAATACGTACCCAAAGACAGAGTATTTTGAATTTACAACTGTACAAAAAACCAATAGAAAACATATGGGCTATGCTCTAGATGTAACATCTTACAAAATGACAGTTCTTGTTAAAAGGCACCAGATTCCCAGAGGGCTCTGGCTTAAAATTTTTAGTCTTTTTTTTTCCAGTCAGACATTACCATGAAAATGTAATTCACTTTTAAACTGTATAATGTCAAAGTTTCAAGCTTCTTTTGTCTTGACAAATCATCTGCACTGTGACACAACCTGGTGAGAGAAGTGACCAATTTCACACTGATGTGAAGCAACTACTAGAGGCCCCACCTCACTGCATCCAGCATCCTATGGTATTTAATTCAAAGAACAAATGGCAAAGCTACCAGTGAGAGTCAAGTTAACCCACAAAATACTGGCCCAATACTAGGGTGTTAACCATACTAAGCCTGGACTGTTTTGCATGGAGATAACTACAGAGCACTAGAGCAGGAAAAAAACATTCTGTCAAAAAATGAACATGGAATCTATGATCAGAACTCTTGCTCAGCAACCTCCTTGGGCTCACCTTCTTCATCACACTCACTTCACTTTCTGGTCTTCACAGCACCCACTAAAGAAAACAGAGCCTAAAGAAACCCAGCACCTTCCTGTGAGCCAAGCTGTTAAAGGAGCTTGGGTATGCATGTGTGTTCTCTTTCTCCCCTAAGAATAAAAAGATTGGACAGGGAAAAGAACCCACTTTCACTGCTTCTTTCTCCTCCATACTCTAAAAATCAAACAAGCTAACTGGTATCACACCTAGGCTTGTACAGACAGGTGCTTCTTTCCAGGCAAGGGCAAGAGAAGCTGGGATATCCAGCCTTGCTGAAGTACAGTAACTCACTCTAGAAGTCTGGGCTTTCCTAAAACTTCATGTTTGGACAAAGGGAAAGGAAAGGACAAACACAGCTTTAAGAAAACTCTGAACTAGTTCACTGGTCAATTTGTCAGTACATCTGCAAGTCATTCTAGAGTCAACAAATGTTTTTGTTTAATCTTACAGCACACATTGAGCCTCACTGCATAGAATCCTGTTAACATTCAACTGACTGAACATTCAAGACAAAAAATATCAAGTTCCAGGGCCATATTTTGTTCTGTATGCAATAATTCCATTATATTGGAATTTAAATATGTTGAACTTGCCCTTTCTGAATTGTCTGGCATTATCCCTGTCTTCAGGTCACAGGTTTGGTGATTTCATTCTCTGAACCCAAGAGCTTCATGTAGTTTTACTTCCTGCCACAACATTTTAACAATGTTGCAAAAACTTCCCTTTCTTTAGGCATAAAAAAAAATAAAAAAAAACCCACAACCACCCACCCCAAAACTTTCTAGATTCACAGATCAAGTTGAATTAATGCTCTGGTATTGAGGGTCATAAAGTCACTTTTAAAAATAAGTTATTTTTGCAGTGTGAAGTTGTCATCTCATCCTAGTGACTTAACGGAATTAAAAATATACTATGCTTCTATTTAAAAATTTTAATTTATTGCATATGACTGACTTTAGACAAATAGGCCTAGAGATTGACTGTTATGCAGCAAATACCAAGAGCAGCATGGTTAAGCTTCCTGCACTGCACTCACATGACTCCACTGCATCCTAGAAAGGCTTCTGGAAGAGAAGGACAGCTGTCTCCATCCAGACAGCACAGGTCTGAAATACAGACTTCTGCGGATTAAAAAAGGGGAGAGCTAATCTCAGTGAAGCCAAGAGACATCATGCAGCACCCCCTGATCACTACTGAATTGCAGAGCTGAATTGCAGAGTCTTGCATCAACCATTTACCATGAGAACACATGCCCCACAGTTCAGCCAGCTTCCTAAAAGTTCTTTTTAAAAATTGCATGTGGTACTTGCAGCTTATCTAGCAAGCAAGAACAGTTAAGACAGAATTATTATGTGTTTATACAGAAGACTGGTCGTCACCACAAGAAAACTAAAAATCTGAATGCAGATAAGAAAAGGAATGTCACTTTTCTTTAAACCTTTCTTTTAAAAGATGAATACTTTGATATTCTATTGTTAGCCCTTACCACCTCACGTACTATCATCAAATAATTTATAACCATGAAAATGCATTCTACTAATCTACTAAAATCTAAACCCCACTACTCATCCTCATTTGTCAGGCTGGTTTCTAACTGTTTAAGGAAAAATTGCAGTCAGAATCACAAACTACACTGCTTTTGAAATGGGGTAATTGTGTGGAGGAGAGCCCCCAGCGTGACAGTTACATGCAGGTAACTCTCACACCAATACATGCACAACACTCTGTAATGGTAGCAGGTACCATCAAATAATTTGCCCACTACAGGAGCTAGAACATTCCGTATATTTGCTTAAATAAAGTTAAGAAATCTATACTTTTGGTCACATCTTAAAAACATTGTAGAATACAGATTTTCCTATTTATACTTGCTCTGCCCTATTGGATAATTTGTTTGAAAAATTAAAAATAAAATGCAATAAAAGCTTCCCAATACAAAAAGACTCTAATCAATCACTTAAATGTCTTTGTTAGCATAGAAGTGTACTTATGGGATTTGGTCTGCTTTCTTTTCAGGAAAAATAAAAGAAAAAAGCCTCATTTTGTCTTAAGAGTTCCACTTCAACATGAACCTCCAGTCAGCCCAAAGTACATCTTCAGCACTGAACCACCATCGTGCTCGTCATTGTATTTCTTCCTTCTAAGCACTGTTCCCAACCAAGCACAGCTCCACACACAAGTACTGGCAGAAACCAGAAGTTTAATCCAAGACTCCTTCAGATGATGAAACCGAGTCTCCCAAGGCTGAATCCTGAACTGTGTACATCAGCCCTCTCAATGAACACAAGCTTTAGTTGTACTACTGAAGCCAGAGAACAGCAGTGGCTCAAACACAGTTATAGAGATAAAAACGTGCTTCTGCTAGAAGGGGACAAGCACAAAGCACATTTCTATGCCAGTATAACTGTGGCCACATTAGTGATTATACTCACAGAACTAAGCTGGGAAGAACTACAGCTACAGTCATTCAAAACTTTTTGGATCAGGGCCTGGCCAAAGACATTCTGATTGCTCACCCAAACAAACTAACACTGCCTCACAGAACCAGGGTTCTATGGATATTGTGTGTTTACAAAGCTGCTCAACCTCATACTATGGCCCAAGCAGAAACAAACTAAACATACAGCAGGTACCACTAGACACCAGACATCCACCACCCGCAATATTTACTTCTACTGCAGCTGAATGACAACATCAAGCACCGTCCTGTGGTGCTTTTAAAGTCCATTCTTAAAATGGATCCCATGTAGCCAAAGAAAATTTTTACAGTGAAGATCTGTGCCCTTGTTTAACAGTAAACCGTGAATGACTCTGCAGTAGTCTTCTCTTCCAGTACTCAGAAGTAAACTGCTCCCATCTCCAGTCTTTCTGTTGCAATCTGCTTTTCCAGCATCTTGAACTGTAAGAATATGAAAACACACCAACAACTTTTCCCCCTAAAACCACCATTCGCTGTCTCAAGATTAAAAAAGTGAGTTTGACACCATCTTCTCTGTTCACTGAGCCCAGTAAGGTTGAAGAGCCACAGCAACTTCTACTCTGGAGCGTAATAAATGTACAAAATGGCATTCATGTGTACAGTTGACATACTCTATGAGCTGCTTGACTCTAAGCTTGATTTGGTCCAGTCTGCTGTTACTGCATCTCTTAGGAAACATTAGTTATAGGCTTGTACTTCTTGAATCTGGTCCATTCACCAGTAGCATAGTTCATTTCAAAGACCGTATCAACCAACATCGTGGTGCTGCCAGTGCCATCTGCCTTTGGTAAATCTTCTGTATGCTCACTAAGTTTAATTTGGATGATGTCACCTTGCTCTTGGCAAGGATTCTCTGTGAAAACAAGAACAGGAACAAATTATACATTTCAGCACTGTATTAGAAAAGGTAAAGAGTGCTTGGTGGAAATTCCTACCCTGAAAAAAAACAAACCCCAACCCAAAACTGAACAGGTAACGTTTCTAATACACACAGACTCAGAAAGATCTTCCCCCCTCCATACATCACAGACTGAGTTTAAGAATAACAAAAACACAGACCCCAAAAGGTGAACCCCAAGGCTAAAGTAACTGGAAGAACAACAACAGGGGGAGTAACGCATGCCAGTGTCATTTCTGTCTGCCTCAGGAGTCCCAAGAGAAGCTTACACTCAAATGGGACTTGGTCAACTTAAATCACCGGAGTTACTTTATTTGGGGTACACTTTGTAATTTTTAGTTAAAAACCTCAACAATTTTCAGCTCTTCTAGAAGCCCAAAGAAGTTCACTGTCTGAGACTCAGTTCTGAGCCAGTAAAACTATTAATGTTACATTTCCAGGTACTTGAACTGGCACTCAAGAATATCACAGTTGGCAGTTATTTACCCAGTCTTTAGGTGGTGACAACATTATTACTCAAACTCATACTGTTATATAGTCTAATGTGTGCTTGTGTGAATATGTAACACACCTGCACACTTTCAGAATAACATTCTACCTCACATTACAAACAGCCCAAGTACACACTCCTACTGCCATTTGCAGAACCATCTAGTACTAAGAGCACCATCGTTATGTGCAAGATACACAAAACTTTCTTAAAGCCCAGGGATCATCACAGTAACTCTACCCTGGCCATCTTCAATTATGTACTGCATTAATCCAAATGCAGGAGTCACATTTACGCTCCAGCACTCCAGTGAGAAGAGCCCTCAAATACCAAATTAGAAACCAGGGCTAGTGTGGATGATAGAGTTCACTTTTAAGGATTGTTAAGCCCCTTCTAATCTTACATCTGATAATATTTGAGGTAAAAGAGCCTTGGTCTATCAAGGCCAGGATCTGACAGGACCTAGCTATGAGACAGCTTATCTCCCTGCGATTCACAGCACTGGCTGTTACCTAAAGTCTGAGGCAACGCCTGCTACAGTTCTAATGCTCAGGAATTAGCAAAGAGGCTCTGTGGTACTTGGACTGCTAGGACCTCACCAGTCTGTTCAGTGTTCTGACTGGCTGCCTTGTTTCTCTCCAACCCCTAAGCCACGATCTTTATCTGTTCTGTGTTGTGTTTAGCAGCTGCTCTGACAGACTGTTTGACTTGTTGAAAATAGACCCTAAAGATCCATTTCCAGTTAGGACTATACTCCATAAAGCTACATACAGAGGAAAGCTAAAGCAAGAGTCTTGCACTCACATATATATACACACATTTAGAAATGCTAGGCTGTGTTGCAGATTTGGGTATTCAAAAGCAAGCTAAATTAGTCTCAATACATGCCTCTGGATCCTGCCATGAATCCAAGTATAAGAGCCTTTTCTGGCCTTGTAACTTTGTTTGCAGTCTTGAACATTTCCTGCGCAGCATACATTTGCTCCCTCTGCAAGAGATACAGCAAATAATGAATTTCAGTTGAGAAAACACTGCCAACAGCTACTGTATTAATACCCACCAAAGAGTAAGGTGGGAGTTTACAGACCTACAAAAAGTAAACATAAAAAGCCTCAACCTTAAGGCCTTCCTTCTTTAATGCTTACACTTAACACAGCAGTGACAACTGAATTCTGAAGCTGGAAAAAAAAAAAACAACCCATCTTTAAATAGTTACAGAAACATGTCATAAGAGACAACGTTTATTATCAACTTTGTGGGTTTTATGACATTAGGAAAAAAGGATAGAAACCTCAATGCTTTTCTACAGTCCAACCAACTCAGGCACGCAATTTTTTCAAGGAATTTTTTTTTCCTTTAATAAATGAAGTAGAGGTGCTGAAAATAGTCAATAAGAAAGTTCAGATCTTGCAAGCCAGGCTTAGCAACATCTTCAAATCAGTTGCATCCTGAATTAGTTACCTGCTTAACTTCAAGCATGCACTTTATACCAACATACCAGCAATAAGAAGCTTCAGGATGTACATAATGGCTGTTTAGCTTCCCCCCTGCTCTCAGGCTTTAAAAGATGTGTAACACCAGCAAGGAGTGTAGGGGAGGTGAGGGGATCAAGAAATAAAGGCTTTTGCCTTAGAATAATCTATTTATATCTTTTCTCTTACCACAGCAATGACAGGGTCTCTATTAGCAGCTTACATTGCATGCAATTGGCTGGGCAACAGCTCTGCTGGAAATATGCCTCTCACAAAATTATAATGAGTAATACAACGTTGCTTTACATAACAAATAGCAGTAAATAAAGACATCTTACTGTGACACTAACACTGCACAATTAAAAACATAGTGATGAACACTAAGGCAGCAATGCTATGCTAACAAAGCCACAAAACATTTTCATCATCTTGGATTATAAAAAGCCAGCCTCAACCACTCCACGATCCAAAAGCTAAGAAATGCCAACATATTAAATGAGATAAACAATAAAAGTGTGTGGTTTTCAACCTACATGAGCAGAAGCAGTCAGAAGGAGCCTGATTTTACTTACTGTGAGAGAGAGGCTTTTTTTCGGTGGCGGCTGCTGCTGCATCTGGGGGGCTGCTTGTGGCGCCTGTGCCGCAGGGGAAATGGCAGGAGGCGTGGCAGGGGTTAGGGGTGAGGTAGGTGTAGTCACAGGTGGATTAGAGTTACTATTGTACATGGGTGTTCTTTGTTTGAATTGTGCAGGAAGAGTTGTCGTAGCATTTGGAGCAGCAGGCTCTTCAGTCTGCCTGTTAGTCTGCAAGGCCTCTCGTGCAGAGCCAGCTGCAAAAACCCAGTCAGGATAATTAAAAAATTATAATCCACAAACAGGGATTAGCATCATCAACAGCCTTTAAAGAAAACTAAAAATTCTGATTATGCCATTTTAGAACCATGATTCAACATACCATTCATGAAGTGCTAATGCTCTTTCCATTCAATTATCTTTAGCCATAATTGGACAACTGAGTCTCACTAGCTGTCTAGTATGGATTACACTATATTGACCATCAAATATTATGTTTAATGGGTATTAGATTTATTAAATTGAAACTGCTTTATTTGCTTTTTAGTGTGTATTCCTGTAACAACTGTACTTTGACCCTAGCAGGATTATTACCCTACTGTTAGGTAGAAGCCAAAACCATAAAAATACTCCACCAGTTTTTACCTAACATAGCAGCAGCTTCCAAAGAAAATGGTAGTTAAGTCTCATCCAGTTGCAAATACTGAAGATACAAATACTTAAACAGATGACAGAATCAAATGTAGTCTTCACAGATCACTCACCATTTAAACACTAACTGCTAAGAGAGTTAAACCCCGACGTTACCAACACATCCTAACTGCTATTTCTCAAAACAGATCCATTTGCCTGCATTTGAGGGAGTTACTATCCCAAATCTGGCTGCAGGTGGGGGTTACGTACAAGATCAAGCTGGTGACTTCCTAAGTTCCCATCTGCCCAGCAGACAGCAATTACCCAGGGCATGTTCTCTTGCAGGCCTTCAGTACAGGCACAGCTGCCTAAGCACCTTTCACAGATGTCAGGAGGTCAAAGCTAGCAAACCTATTCACATGGTGCTCACAGTAGACCACAAGGCAGATACAGACCAGAGCTACACTGATGCCTTTCACATCAGATTTTAGGGAATTAGAGGTTACTACTCTCCATCTAGGCACAGGCACAGCACTGGTTTTAGCAGTGTCACAGAACAGCAGGGCTTGGAAGGACCTCTGGAGATCATCTGCTCCAACTCCACTACTAAAGCAGGTTCACCCAGAGCAGGTTGCACCAGAACACATCCAGGTAGCTTTTGAGGATCTCCAGAGAAGAAAATTCTGCAACCTCTGCAGGCAGTGTGTTCCAGTGGTCTGCCACCCTCCCAGGTAGAGAGGTTTTTAATATGGCTATATTTTAATATCAGTAAGTTTTAATATGGCTATTATCCAGTACTATGTGGAAAAGGACAGTGAACACTTTAAAAAGAGGACAAAAATTTGCAATAATTATTTACCCCTTAATTTTGTACTAATCTCTTAAATTTCATTCCTGGCTTCTTCTCACATCAGAATAACTGACTTGCACAAAGTAACACATCTTCATTATGCAATCCCAGATTACATGAGACCAAATCCATGGATCTTCTGTGTCCATCTTATATCAAGGAAACAGTTTTTATACTCTTTACCCATAAGAAAATCTAAACACCACACACACCAAAAGGAAGAAGTAAGCTAGAAATAGTGCAAAGTCAATAAAGAATTTTCAACTAGGCTTTTCCTGCTGTTGAACACAATGCCAAGGCTCTGGAAAATAATACTAGCTGCTGACAACACTGATGTGCTCTTGGCTGCATTCCCTCTGGAGATGCCAGTTTTCTGCCAGGGAAAGATTTGCATGGACCTTCAAAGAGTTTCTGAACTGTTTCAGGACCAAGAGAAGTGATCAGGTATTACAAATGCATTTTTCTGTAGTGACTAAGGTGCCACAGATAAATAAAGACAAACATTACAGTAGCAAATTGCAACAAGCAAGGGTAAAACCAAGGTGTTAAACTGAAACACTGTTTCTCTGTCAAATACAGGATCAGGTAATGAATCCTGGTCACACACATCTGTCAGTGCAGACTGATATGCTTCTTTAAGACTTTACATGCAGCAGGAAAAGAAAACCCAAGTGTGTTAGAATAAAAGATGCAGAAATGAATTATTTGTATGAGTGTTATTTTTTACTATAGGCAATCTTATAGAATTGAAAATAATGCAGCACATTTTGAAACATGTAGGAGCTCAGCCATTATCTGTAAGACTGTTACTTACTGTTACTTATCTGTAAACTTAGGTAAAAGGAAAACAGATGCTTTGATCCCAGCCTGTGTGAAAGCTGGTATGTACTTGCCTCTGGAAATGTATCTGACTCCTGGAAGAACCATTTTGTAAACGTGTGCAGATGAATGTGTGGATGGAGTATATACTCTAGACTTGTGTATTACTGGTATCTCTTCAGGGATTAAAAAAAAAGCTGGGTTTTCTATTACAGAGTTAAGAAAAAACACCCAACCAATAAATTGCTTTACTTGCTGGACTGAACTAGCAGTAATTTTAAAGACTTAAAACCAACAAGCATTTTCCTTATTTAGGTTAAATGACATGTTTGGTTACCCCAAAGGCAAAGGCTGGGTTCCTGCAATGGAGCCTTAGACTAAGGTTGTTTCACTACAACTGAGGGACAGGATGTTTGTAAATAAAAGAACAGCTAGACAACCTGTACAGTTGAAGCTATTAGGTCCCAAAACAAAAAATTCCCTGTCTTCTACCTGGCTGTGTTTCCGAGCTTGGGATATAAGAGGAAGATGGCACCACGCTGGGGGTAGCAGGTAAGTAACTTGTAGAAGGTAGTGCAGGCTCATTGTTCAACGAGCCAAGTTTCTGTAAAACAAACAGAAAGAAAGTGTTACAGCCAGACTTACACACAGAGCATGCACTCTTCCTGCCCTTTAAATACAATTTCAACATTAGCTCCTTTGGGAACTGCAACGTTCCTGTTGGGAATTATGGACTCCTCTGTTAGGGCAAGTTTGCTCTTTCAACCCTAGCTTTCTATACAGACTTCAGACATCAGAATTACCTTAGGAGAGAAAAAGTAGCTTTTATTTCACCTAATTCAGACCAAAGTTGCTTCCTGAGCCAGGAAAAAAACCATACTACTATGGAGAAGGTATTTCTGAAAAGAGTCAAGCTGCTGTTCCTTCAGCTGGCAGTGTGGAGACCAGATGCTAAAACTTATGCAATTTTACTCTCTGAAGAATTACACTATAGAAATTAAGTGACCTTCTGCCCAAGCAAACATTAGCAAGCAGAAACCTGTGTTCATCCATGGGCAAAAGGCCTACTGAAGAGAATAAAAGGCATCAGGGACATGGGGAAGCAGAAGGCAGCAGTAAAAGCAAGGGTAAAAACCCATTTCCAATGAACAGTAGTCAACACCAACATATCAGATGTCATCTAGGATCAAGCCAAAGAAAACACCACATTTTGTACCTAACTATACAGGATACTGCACACATGGCATAAAGACAACAGCATGCTACCTCTGTGAAGATCTTCACTTTAGTCCAGTACAACCTTATACAGGGCTGAGAGAGGAATTAAGTTTTTGGAGGAGTAAGCCTAGCAGACAAATAATTTAAAAGTAGCCATACTAAACAAAAGTGAGATGGATATTCTGTAAGATGTGGAGCTTGTCAAAAAAGATACCCTTAGCATTCTGCAGCCTGACAGGCAGTAACCTTCCCTCCTGACACAGATCTACCAGTACCTGCCCCTATGCTGTTTTGGGCACGTGTGCCATAGATTGCTACCCCCCATAGGCATGGGACTAATGCTGCATGTGCTCACCACTGAACTCCAGAGGAAAGTACAACCAAACCACACAGGGCTTTTAAAGAGTGCTCTCCAAAGGCAAGCACTGCATCTCAACACATGGACTTAAAGAAGCAGATGTAACATGACCACTTCAAATTCAGAGCAAGAGAACACACTTAAGATTTGAGATGGATTGCTATCATTCCAAGAGGCTTGCAGACACTGGGGACAACAGCTTCAAATGATTTATTAGTATCTAAAGAACTCAGTTGTCCAAATTAATTCCAGGCCAAGGCTTGCTGGAATAGCACAGATAGTTTCTAACTGAGAAGTGGGGAAAGGACCTAACATTCCAGTAAAAGCTATGTCCTGGCTGAGAAAACAAGAGCTGCATCACAGTTTTTTCAGTGCACTGTATCTGACAGAACAGGGAAACCCCTACACACAACTCCTCTCCCATCTCCAATCTCCTGACTGAACTACCTCTAGCAACAGTTTAGCTTTTTCAGTAGATCCTAAACAGCTTTTGGATTAAAAACAAAACCAAAACCCACAACTGTTAGAAGAAGGATCAGCCACCTATGAACTTCATGTGTTTTAAGAAGCATGGGTAATTTGGACAGATCAGTTCTGCTTTATTTCTCCTCCCCTTCCAATAGTAATGGGACTGGCTAAGCCTAGTTACAGACAGGTTTGGAGACCTCAGAAAAAGCCACCTCCTGGATGAAGCATCAATTCTCAAAGATTACAAGCTAAAAAAGAGAAAAGAACAAGAGAAGGGTAGTAGCACTTAGGTTCTTTTCTCAGGCCAGAAGACAGGTAAGTTTGTAAAGACTTCTTACTTGGCTGCTTATATTCAGCCATCTCTCCTGGGCACAGGGCAGTGACAAGTGCTCCCCACTGAGACTTCTGTGGACACTATTCCACCAGTGTCAAAGGATACACAGGCACAGGGCAAAACCTGCATCAACTACTGAAAATTATTCTACCTCCCTAGGGTCAGAGGGCCCTCCTATCCTATCCCATTCATCTCTGACAGAAGACTACAAATTTCTGTTACAGAAATGCCATACTCCATTGTAAGCTTAAAACAGCTGCAAGAAAGCAAGCAAGAACTTTACCTTTAACTCACTATAAATTTTTTATCTAGTTTGGTAAAAATTAAGATAATGTTGAAGTTATGTAAAGACTTTTGCATTAAGGGGCATGTTTCAGTAAATTAGTAAAATATCCTCGGGTTTTTTTTGGCTTGGTTGGTTGGTTTTGTTTGGTTTTACCTGTGTAGACACAAGGCCAGCAGCATAATCTGGGGTAGCATTTTCTACTACTGTTTCTTCTTTGGCTTGCTTTTCCACAACTTCTGTATCTATTACATAAAGACAAAAGTCAGTTCAATGAAGTTTCCTGAGATACTGAATTCAATATTCTTTTTTACACAAAAATATAAACATGCATTTCTTAAAATCTGCTAAAACATGCTTTAAGATGTATATGCTGGTAAGATGCTAGAAACAGTAACCTTCACAATAATCCAAATTATGAACTGAACTGCAACATATATCCACCAGGATAGAGTAACTGATTAACTAGGCAAAATTGGCTAACTTTTTGATACTACAAAGCATCAAAACCCAAGCAAAAATTTAATTGCAGTTGTGATTTTGTTCTAAGATGGTACTTGAGTTTTTTTGTAACACAAAAAGGTTGAATTTGGTGCAAATATGCTCCCTAGTGTATCTTCCTGATATGGTGAAGTAGAGCACTGCCCTGTCACCTGACTTAAGAGCAATACATCAGGTATTATTCATTTGTTAAGATCACACAGCCATAATGTTGGAGAGCTCTATAATTTTTTCTTCAGCATTGCTTTAATTTACTTGGCCACACATCCAGGAGAAATAATATATGTATCAAAATATCCCAGAACAGTTCCACTACTGAAGCCACTTGCAAACCCATGTGCTGCCCACAGCACAACTGACTAGTTGAATCGTTTCATGCAACTGAGTCAAGTTATGACCTATGCACTTGGCAAGATGATTAGGAGTATTGAGAAATAGGTGGAAAAACCCCCTCTAATGTATTTTGGCCTTTTTTTTTTAAAAAAAACCTGAAGAACAAAACTGTACTACAAACCTAGATCCTATCTGCAGCTATATTAACAGGCTAAGTAGCGTGCTATACCAACCTAATGTCTTTCTTCTTCTCTTTGCTTCACGGCCAGCACCCACCATATCCAGCTCAGAGATATCTAGAAGCTAAAAACACACACAATTTAATAACCATTGTTAAATTTAGATAGCTGGTCTCTAAATATCATCCTTAAATTTTTGTTTTTTAATACATTGATACTTGACTCCAACAGCATCAGATATTCACTTTAGATCAAGGAGAAGAACTAAGCAGGAGAGCAAGAGACCAGGAGACCAGGAAAGGGCACACCCACCTTTACTCCTCTTTCTTTGCGCAGAGGTGTTCTTGAAGGAGGAATGGGAGTTCTGTTTCCAGAAGGACTAAATACACTAGGTGCTGAAGTACTCCTGAATGGAGCTTGTTTTGGTATTCCTTTAAGTGGTGCTTTAGGAAGATCAAAAAAGGCAACAATTGTGATATTTGTCTTTTGCAACCAAGCAAATGTTAATAAGGAGTTCTCCAGCTTTCCCCCTTTTTAATGTACACCTCTCCCTCCCCTTTTGCTTCAAAGGTTTATAATGTGGAACTGCCTAGAACACACTACATGGCCCTCAAAGGTCAGATTAGGTCTCCCCCTTCAAACAAGGAGTAAGACCCATTCTCCAGGCTAATGCTTGCAACTCCATTCTACAACTAGTTGTCAGACACATTCACTGCTATCAAAATATATTTTTCTTCCATACATTGATGCTTTCCTTGCAACATAGGAAAAGGTGTTGGGCACAAATGTTCCAGATCCAGTAATTGCTGAAGTTACTCTTTGAACTTCAAGATCTAGTTACTTTGTAAAACTGTATTTAATCAAAGATTTTTAGCCAAGCTCCTGCAGGGCTAAGGGCTTGATCTCCTGGAAAGGTCAATTACTGCTTTACAAAGTGCTTTGAAATCCTAGAGCTACTGTTTGCACAGGGAGGAGGATCCAACTTGGGTCTACATTGCAAACAGAAAACCTGGTGTCTCAATACTCAGTAGACAATGCTACACCTGTGAGAAGTTGTTTTCCCCCCAGCTTTACACTGTTACCCTTCTACCTTGTGTAAGCACTGGAGATAGCATTCTGTCATCAACTGCTAAAAAATTAGTGACACATACACATCTATCAGGTCTTTGAGCCTCCTGACATTCTCATCATACCCTACAATTTGAAGATAAACACAGAATTTTAGTTTGAGGTTAGATACTCTATATCCCTCTGTATGTTGTACTGAAAACCTTTTCACCATAGGACAATCCTCTCTGATCAATTAAGTCTCACACTCCAGCTGGTCCCACAACACCTATTCTTGAGACCACCCAACTCTAGAAGCCATGTCTAAAAACTAGCTTTATGAGATCCATGACTAAAAAGAATGCCAAGAAGAATTAAGGGTCAATTTCTATAGCGGGACAATTTCAGTTCAAATTACAACTACCCTTCTTACATTTCTTGTGTGAACATGTGGACAAAGTTTGGTGCTCAAAACTACATCTTAAGTAGCATCGACACAACATACTTCCTACCTTCTACCCACCACACCAAGGAGTCTCTAGTTTTACACCCGAGCATCATCTTGATGGTCATAAATGTTATATTTGTGCAGTGATTTAAAGTAAATGATTCTGAACCCTCCTCTTGCTCCTCATCAAAAACTTATTTGAAAAATTCAAGCAGTTCAGGAGCTTCAGCAAACAGCTGAAACCTATTAATACAAAGTTAAAGAATGAGTCTACATCTTTGACATGCCCATTAAATAGAAGCCCCTGCCCAGCCTTGGCTACAGAGAGCACACTGACCTCTGGTCTTTCACCATGAAGAATTATACAAGATAGTTTCAGTCTACTTCACAACATTCCAAAGAGCACAGCAGATTACTGTGATCTACTCTGCTCCCTTTTGGAGCAACATGGCTTAGTTGGGAGTTATTCCTGGAGTGATGCAAATTAAATTCTTACCAAAGTCTACAGCATGAATTAGCTGCTTATATTTTAGAATTATGGCAGATACACATGCCAATTAACAAAAACCTCACACTCTTGTTCCTTCTGACAAGACATGTCAGAAACATTTAAATATCAGGAGAGAGGGAGACAGAAAGGGAGAAATCCTTTGCTTCAAAAAGATGTAAGTTTTTGTCAAAACTAGATGGCAGTTCTATTCTTCATTAGGGCTCTTGTATCAGGTTTTCTTTCTAGCAAGTGATGAAAATGAGCCATACTTGTCGTATCTATCTTTTTGACCAGTCCCCTGCCTTTGGCATGGAAAGGCACTCCTGCAGTCTTCTTGAGCTGTTGTGCAGTTTCTGTTGCTAAAACAAAAACAGGGCTTTAGTTATTACAGAATCTGTGTTGAAAAAACATAGTACATTGCTCCTTCTATAAAATGTTATTAACCAATACATAAAAAGATGGCAATAGCAACAAAGAAAGAATTATATTTTAATTAAACCCCAGGTCATTTATGCAAGGTAAAGTCAATATTTGGAGAAAATGCAAAATCAATATGGCTATGCAATGGGCAAGATGGTCTAAGCTAAAAGAAATTATCAGAGTAAACAACGTACTCAGTAGAGACTGAAATATTTAAATAAAGTTCTATCTTGCATTTAACCACACCAACTATTCAAGTCACACCAGAAAGAAGGAAGCTGCTGCAAGAGAAGAGCAGGCACAATAAAATATTTTAAGATCATTTAGTTCAAGTGGCTACCAATACATATATGTACACATATGCTGCCTTTTAGCAAAAACCCTCCTGGGTTTCACACCCTTTACAGCCTACAGGGCCAAAGAAAGCATTAATTAGCAGCTCTTGCTCTCTGTTGCAAAAACATATGGCAGAACAAAACTAGGTTTTCATTTCAGCTTTGTTTCAGGAGCTTTAACCAAAGCTGTCCGTCACAAGTCTTCACAACTGATTGTTAAATCACCCAGGAGAGAACATATCTGTGCTTTAAAAAGCTACAGCTTTTTGTACGCCTTGAAATCTGAACAGTATTTAAATCAAGATGATCATTTTAATGTCATCATGGCCAGAGTGACTCGCACCTGCTCTTCCACACCTATCAATCTATCAAAGAAAAAAATCAGCCAAAGCTCTTACACAAGAATATTTTAACAGACATCCCCATATGGGAGAATAAAACCAAACTAAGTTTTCCTTTCACCATTTGTTACTCAATCTTATCTACTAGCAGGAATCCTACTTACATTTCTGCAAGAGTTCAGCTCTGAGAGTGGCACTTTTTGGTTTCCTTTTCAGCTGGAAGTGTTTCACTGGGGGGGTAAGTGGCCCAGCTAGTGTTGTCAAGGCATTTTTGTTTAAGTACTGGCATTCCAACGGCAACATCGTTGAAGTTTCACATTCGCTTACTGCACGAAATGTTAACACAGTACACACGTGTATTAGCACCTTTGATAGCTAATTACAAAACATTTTACAACTAGACTGTACAGGTGGCTTTAAATTTTAGATTGTTTAAACACCAAGTGTAATTTAGTTCTAATTATACAGTATATAACCAGTTATTAGGATGTTTGGTTTTCACATGAGCTTCGTAAGAGCTTCCATGTTAATTATACCTAGTCAAATTATAGGAATCTTAAATATGCTACTATTGTCAAACCGAAAGAGATAAAAATGATTGAATTCTCAAATTCCTTCAAAATTACACATTAAAAGTGAGCTACTCAATTAAAGTCCAAACCCAAAGTGTGAATAGACGCACAATCACTTGTTTATAGTAAGAAAACAACATACTTCCACCCTCAAGTAACGCCATTATTGGTCTGCTGGAATCCTAACTCCGAGACCATTTCTAGACGGTGTGCTCCACCAAACCCACGGCAGGAGGAGCAGCTCTGCCTCACCATTTACTACACTGTTTGAAGCCACAGCTGTGCACAGGCCAGAGCCAGCACTTGCAGCTGCTAGCTGGACATCGGCAGCGTAACTTTTCTTGTGGTCAGTCTCCCCAGCAGCACCTATCATTTGTTGGTTAGAGGAGGACTTCCAGCAGAGATGCACCCCACCTGCTCCACACAACAGTGGTGCTTCCACACAAGGACTGCAGAAACAGCCTTGCTGTCGTCTTTGGTACTACAACATATGGAACAGAGCAATATGTGAAAAACCTCAACCCACTGCAGTAAGTCAGATATTACCTCAGTGCACATACAGCCTGTCTACCATACTAATGAATCCACATTAGCTGGTGTGTTGCCCTTCAGAAACACTCAGGGTAGTATCTGACATTTAAGTTCTGATGATGTGTGAAAAGATAATTTAAGAAGTTACCATTCCACAGGTATCACAGTTCCCAGTCCAGTAACATGTCAGGTCATGAACTGTGGCAGTTAAGAAACAAGACATACTGCTTGTCCTGATACCAATACTGTTCAGATCACAAGATTAACCTGTTGTTCCACAGGCACTTCTGAAAAAAAGGCACCACACTTCTGTAATTTTCACCAACAGAAAAGGCTTACCTTTTTCTCTAAGCTCTCCTAAAATATCTTGAACATTGGGATTCTGTTCTTCAAGATCAAGGTTAAGGGAGCCAGTATCTGGAAAGGATTTTAAAATATCAGCTACCATTAAGACCCAGGGGTCTGAATCCAAGGTAGCGAGCTGGATAATTTCAGTCAGTGCCCCTTTCATCTAACAAAAAAAGAAAAAGAAAATCAGCCAATTGGAAGCTGTATTAAACAGGTTATAGATGGATTTTTTTTTTTTTTAAATCTTAAAAAACACTAGCACAGACATGCACAATGTTTTACTACTAGGGATAGAAAGAGGGAGACTGCCCCAACACAGTTATGCATTAACTCTAGAACTAGGAATGAATCAAGATAATTTTTTTTTTTTGAATTGCTTTCAGTCAATCTAACACAAGTTTGTTTTAAGCTTTTGACAGCTCGAAACTTGGTTTAGCATTAAACATTTTTACTAAAATTAACAGGCCAGATTCCTACATCACTGTCTCCTTATGTTCCAATCTTATATCCCCATATACACCTTATATTCAATAAGAATATGCAACTAGAATACAACGAGTTATGAATAACACACACTTAAACAACGATGCGTCCCTTTCTAGGCTACAGAATAATTAGGCAGAACAACCGTATCTGCATCATATGAACATAAGCCAAGCCCTCAAACGTTTCCTTAAGCTTAGACCATAATTGTTTCCCACTAATCAAACCTATTGTTTGACAAAAACTACATATTACAGAAGCAGACCCAGCCCTCTAAGATGCCACAGGTAACAAGACTTTTTCATCTACATCAAGTTTCTATAGTCAGAAAAAAGGTTAATTTTCTTTAAGCACATATCTTGAAAAAGGGGAAATAAGGCATGAGATTAATTTTAAAAATTTCATTGTCACAGTAATTTTCTTAGGTTATTGATCAACATGTCTGTTGGCACTATGAAATAAAAACAAGGTAACTACAGTCAGGGGTTTACACAACGAATCTCTTAAATTACTTGTTTTACTTCATTCACAGGTGAGTTTAACCCCTCCTCAGTACAGACTGAACAGTTGCTTTTTTCCCCTAAGTAAACTTTCACATGAGCATTAAAGCACTCACTGCACAGCACGAAGAGGTCCAAGGTGTGCCATCTGGCTATCAAGCCACAAAACCTAAGAGTATAATTACGTAAAGTAGGTATACACTATCTCTACAGTGTTAACATACTTGCTTCTAAATTCTCAATAATGAAATACTTGAATTCTGATTTTTCACAGCCCATTGTGGCACATGTGAGCTTGGTTACAGTCTACATGTTTCCGAACAGAGGGAGAACAGCAAAAGATTAATCTTCACCTTTAAGCTGTATTTCTTTCCCTTTATTTAGGACCGGCCTTTTCTCATGTAGAAAAGTTCAATAAAACAAGCTTACTCTACATGCAACTCTAAGAAATGAAAGCTCTCCACTCCTCCTCCCCCACCCCCAAGGACTTTTAAAGCTCAGAGGCAGGCAAACATTGACATTTCTCAATTCCTTTCACCCATGCAATGTTAGTGCCCTCTCACTTTAGGAAGTTTTACAAGGGCACTATAGGGGCAGTTTGTCCTTTACCCCTTGCATGTTTTGGGACCAACGGTAATGTGCTTGTGAAAAACTGGGTCAGGTCATCTGACCAAAAACTAGCATCCCTCTACAGCTTTAGCTTGAGGAGCCCCGTGGTATGGCTGCCTACAGCCACACAAACACTAGAACCACAAAGAGTGAGCAAAAGGAGACACTACAACAGTCAGTTAGCAGCTTCAGCAGCCCTATCAGTTTGCTTTGGCTTAAACTGACCACAGAACCATGACCACACTGTTTAACGTGCTGACCAACACTTATCCAATAGAGATAAGCAATTTCTAAGTTTCCAGTCTTTATGGTCCTCCACTGTTTAATTCTTTCTCAGCAAACAAACCCACCTAGACTCCACATAGACCTGCCAATGTCTCTAACCCTAAATGATCATCAGAAGCCACTTCTACTACAGTGGATGAGTGTGAGTACTATTGAAACAAAGTCCTTTATGCTCCTTTCCCTCCTACAGGAAGTACACTACTGATTTACATAAAACACCTGAAAAATTAAAACTTGCCATGACTGCTGCTGAAGCTATGGTTTATTTGTAGCTCTTTTACCAGCCTTTATCTGAGCAACACTAATGCACCTGAGTGTATAAAATGTAATACCCTCCATCAAAGCAGTAAGGTAATAGTTGGAGGAAATAATATCTCCTATATTCTCCCAATTCACCCTTCACATCTACTCCACAAAACTCCTGTTTGTACCAGAAATTCACAGAGCTACATGCCTATACTATGTATGTTCCTATGGAGCTCTTGTCTGAGCACTCTACACCCACACCATCCTCAGGCCAACTAAAGTTCAGGGCAACCTACTTGTAGCCACAACCCACTGCTTCACATGACTTTGGTTCCTTGAAGGATAGGGCCCAGAAATACCTTGTTTGCCTAACACTGGGAAAATAACATTATGACAAAGGCTCATGGCAGAAAGCACATGGTGAAAGAACAGCCACTGCCACATACAGGGAAGCAAAGCACGCTAACATGTACTGTGAGCTCAGCAGGAGCTTGCCTGAATATGAGGTGGCATATAACAAGTCTGGATTTGAGTTTTGACTCAGGTTTGTCTTTAAATGGCAATTTAAATATATGTTCTCAGTTCGCTGTTGAATTGGCAGCTGAAGAAAAAAAAATTTCACTTGTGGTTTGAGAATGCATGAAATGCAACTCAAAATAACAGAGTCCCATGTACAGTTTTTCCTGTTACTTTACAAAGCACAGCCATGATCTAAATATGTTAATCTGTATGATTGCAACACTGGGTCACCGAGAGCCCCACCAGCTCCAACCAGCGTCTTGCTAAGCATGAATGTCAAGATCTGATGCAATAGGTGCTGGCATTTCTCTCATCTAAGCCATAAGGATTTCAAGTATTTTTCCTCAGCAGGTTGCTGCCCACCCCTCACCCAAAAACACAGGGCACAACTAGAAACATCTAACAACAAAGGATCAGGCAAAATGGAAAATGTCTGGAAACAAAGGGAGATTAATAATGGCTGCGCAGGAGGAATACACAAATGGTACTGTGGGAAGGGGTAAAAAGGAAATATTACTAGAAACATGCAAAGTGACAGCTCCCAAGATAACTTCTTGCAAGAAGATTCCCATTCATTTGTTTTACATTATGCCTGAATTAATATGTGACTATGCCTTTAGAAAACTGCACCAACAGTTGGCTAGTAAAGCCAACTGAGTTTTAATTTTTTAGGGGCCACAGAGAAGATGATATTGAATAGGTATCTATGTTATTACAGAGCACTTTCATTAAGCTTAAAGCATTAGATTGAAAGTGGCATATTAGTATTTATGCGATACAGAACTAAATTGGATCAAATATCACTATTATGTATGTTTTGTATTTCAATCACAAAAGAAGAGTAGAAGTGGCCAAGAGTAATATTACATTAAAATATACCACATTACATCACAGAAACATTAACAACACTAACTGCAGGCCAGAAAGATGCACAGCAGCCTGGCTGCTCTGAGTAGAGGGAGAGGTGTTGTGTGCCCTCTTGCTCCTTTGCATCAGTGCTCAGCAGTTCCCACTCGCACAACACAACAGAGAGAGGACTTCTGATTTAAAGAGGCAAGCAAGGAGAAACAGTCCTGACTCCTGCTCTCTTGCAGCTGCCCTAACAAAGGGCAGGCCACTGCTGGGGCTGGCGCCTCCCTCTGAAAATAACAGAGAGCACAGAAGCAGAGTTCTCATTCCAGACTCGGTTGTAACATCACAGTCTAACCCTGAACAAATACATTAAATGTTGGCACAAAAAGAGAACCTGCGCTTGCCATTGTGAATGAATAGGGTTAACCAGAATGTAACATACAAAATAAACAGAAGTAACTGGTCTGCCAAATTCACAACCGAAACCCTGGTCAGCACTACGCTGAGCTTTAGGCATCCTTTCAAATAAGCACAATTATCTAGAAAAAAAAAAAAATTAGCAGATGAAAAGCTGGGGGGCAGGGAGATTCAAGAGTTAGCAAGCTCTGCCCAGAGAACTGCAGCAGAAAGGGATATTTTTGATAACTGCCTACAAAACACACTAAAATGAAGATGGGAGCCAATTATTCTTATTAGTCAGCAGGA